TGGGCTTAATTTAATGTGCTGGTCCAGCTCAAGCTCGCTGGTGTGGCTCTCTCTGCTGAGCCAGCTCCTGATGGGGCCACTGGCACCTGCCTGCTGGTAGAGAGTAACTGTGGGGCTCCCAAGGTGCTCACAAGTCAGGGAAGGTAAATAACTGATGCAAATGCTAAATCAAAGTTCATGTATTTGACTGAGGGGTCCTGGGATGCTCCCACCAGGGACAGGGCATTTAGGGCCATTTTAGGGAGGAGAGGCTGCTGCTGGGCAGGAGTGGTGCCACAGCTCCTGGGGATGTGCTGGTAGCTTCTGGGTCATGCTGGTGGCTCCACTTGCTGGGGGTCAGGACAGAGCACTTGCCAGCCATGTAAATGGCCCTGGGAAGGTTTCCCTGGACCCAGCGTGTCTCGAGAGCTCTTCAGCCTGAGCAGGATCAGGGACCACTTAAGTAACATTCATTACTTTTAATTATGTATGAGCTCATAAATATTAATAAGCCGCTCTCTGGGGTTCAGGCCTGAGTGAACCCATCAAAACAGGGAGCAGGCAAGGGCTGTGTCAGTGCTGCCGTGGCCAGGACAAGGCAGGACACGCTGCTCACACAGCCAGTTCCCTGGGACTGCACCCCAGGCTCCCGCAGGTGCTGGTGGCAATTCTGGTACCCCAAGCTCAGCCACAAACCCTGCCTGGCTCGGGAGGCTGTGCCTCATCCCTCTCCCTGGACCCTTGGAAGCTGTCCTCTGGCTCAGGTATTGCCACAGGGCTGGACCCTGAGCCAGTCCCACCCTTTCACCCCAGGCTCACCCACCCCTCCCGTGGGCCCTGGCTGGACCTCTCAGCACTCACAATGCCAGTTTGCCACCTGCAAGGTGTGGCTCCAGCACTGTTCTGCTGCTCTTGGCATCGTTGTCACCAGACCAGCACTGCTCCATGTCCTTACCAACCCCCTGCTTCCTTGGGATGCAGATCCGCTGCTCCAAGGCTTTTTAAGCCATGTTTTAAGAGCTCCTAATGTGATAAGTATTTTCAGTACAGCCCTTCCTGAGCCCTCATTTGCTTACTTACCCTTTGGAAATCTAATACTTGATTTAAGCACATTTCTGCTCCCTCCATTTGTAAGGACTAATGTAAAGTAATTGTTTGATATTGCAGTGGTTTCCTCAGGCTCCAGCTCTAATTTCCCACTAATACAGTATTGTCAGGGGGATCAATCTAACCCGGCACCTTCTGCCTCCTTGGAGTGGATTGGAAATGGCTTTTCTACTGCAAGGCTGGGATTTGTGAGTCTCACTGCGAATGTTTTTCTCCTTTAAAGGAAATATCATATAAGAAAATATCCCATCTTCCCACAGATGGCCATTAATCCCCTGCTCTCCCTCGGCCTGTCCACAGCTGGCAGGTGCTGGTGGCAATTCTGGTACCCCAAGCTCAGCCACAAACCCTGCCTGGCTCGGGAGGCTGTGCCTCATCCCTCTCCCTGGACCCTTGGAAGCTGTCCTCTGGCTCAGGTATTGCCACAGGGCTGGACCCTGAGCCAGTCCCACCCTTTCACCCCAGGCTCACCCACCCCTCCCGTGGGCCCTGGCTGGACCTCTCAGCACTCACAATGCCAGTTTGCCACCTGCAAGGTGTGGCTCCAGCACTGTTCTGCTGCTCTTGGCATCGTTGTCACCAGACCAGCACTGCTCCATGTCCTTACCAACCCCCTGCTTCCTTGGGATGCAGATCCGCTGCTCCAAGGCTTTTTAAGCCATGTTTTAAGAGCTCCTAATGTGATAAGTATTTTCAGTACAGCCCTTCCTGAGCCCTCATTTGCTTACTTACCCTTTGGAAATCTAATACTTGATTTAAGCACATTTCTGCTCCCTCCATTTGTAAGGACTAATGTAAAGTAATTGTTTGATATTGCAGTGGTTTCCTCAGGCTCCAGCTCTAATTTCCCACTAATACAGTATTGTCAGGGGGATCAATCTAACCCGGCACCTTCTGCCTCCTTGGAGTGGATTGGAAATGGCTTTTCTACTGCAAGGCTGGGATTTGTGAGTCTCACTGCGAATGTTTTTCTCCTTTAAAGGAAATATCATATAAGAAAATATCCCATCTTCCCACAGATGGCCATTAATCCCCTGCTCTCCCTCGGCCTGTCCACAGCTGGCCCTGGGTTCCCCCCCTGCTGCTGGCTCCCCCTGTGGCTCCTGTGCCTGCTGCTGGATGCTGGCAGAAGGGCTGCAGATAGGGCTCTATTAGAGCTCCATTAATTGCCTCCCATTTTTTCCTATTAGAGCTCACTGGACAGTAATCACTTCCAGGAAGGTTTCTTAAACTGGTCCATGGTTGTGTTGCATCCCATGCTAGAGGATGGAGGGTGCCCCTGGCCCTGGATCCCCTGGTCACCCATGCCCAGGTCCTCCTGGCACATGGGTCTGGACACATGGGCAAGTGGCCCGGGGTGTCCAGCAGCCCCGGGGCTGCCCCCTCCCCAGGGACACCTGCAATGGGTGCAGGGAGCACTGGGAGTGAGGCAGGGGAGCAGCCTCATCCCAAACCAAGCCCCTGCTCCTGCCCAGGTGTGTCCCCTTTCCTGGCCACTTGTCACAGCCCCTGTGCCACCCTGTCCCTGTGGCTTCTCAGGCCCAGTCCCTTTGTTGGGAAACACAGTGGGAGCCTCCTGGCCCCTCCGGCTGCTCCCTGCACCACAGAGAGCCCAGCTGCTGAACAGCTCTCAGACCAGTTTGTGCAAGGAAAGGCTGAGGGCTCAGGCCGAGATTTAGATGCTAGTAGTAAATTGCAACCTTTGACAAAAACGCCTGAGATTTAGTACAAAAATCAATAGAGGATTCAAGCAGCCCAGCCCTGGGCGAGGCAAATAACAGGGTGCCAACAAGTCCCTTATTGATATTCATGAGCAGCAGTGCCCGCCCGTTACCGGGCTGGTGAGATGTGGTGCTGCAGGAGGGGATGGGCTGGGTGTGTGTCTCCACCCCACGCTGCCCAGCCGAGCCCCCTGCCCACCCCAGGACTCTGCACAGCCCCTCCAGCTGCCCAGCCGAGCCCCCTGCCCACCCCAGGACTCTGCACAGCCCCTCCAGCTGCCCAGCCGAGCCCCCTGCCCACCCCAGGACTCTGCACAGCCCCTCCAGCTGCCCAGCCGAGCCCCCTGCCCACCCCAGGACTCTGCACAGCCCCTCCAGCTGCCCAGCCGAGCCCCCTGCCCACCCCAGGACTCTGCACAGCCCCTCCAGCTGCCCAGCCGAGCCCCCTGCCCACCCCAGGACTCTGCACAGCCCCTCCAGCTGCCCAGCCGAGCCCCCTGCCCACCCCAGGACTCTGCACAGCCCCTCCAGCTGCCCAGCCGAGCCCCCTGCCCACCCCAGGACTCTGCACAGCCCCTCCAGCTGCCCAGCCGAGCCCCCTGCCCACCCCAGGACTCTGCACAGCCCCTCCAGCTGCCCAGCCGAGCCCCCTGCCCACCCCAGGACTCTGCACAGCCCCTCCAGCTGCCCAGCCGAGCCCCCTGCCCACCCCAGGACTCTGCACAGCCCCTCCAGCTGCCCAGCCGAGCCCCCTGCCCACCCCAGGACTCTGCACAGCCCCTCCAGCTGCCCAGCCGAGCCCCCTGCCCACCCCAGGACTCTGCACAGCCCCTCCAGCTGCCCAGCCGAGCCCCCTGCCCACCCCAGGACTCTGCACAGCCCCTCCAGCTGCCCAGCCGAGCCCCCTGCCCACCCCAGGACTCTGCACAGCCCCTCCAGCTGCCCAGCCGAGCCCCCTGCCCACCCCAGGACTCTGCACAGCCCCTCCAGCTGCCCAGCCGAGCCCCCTGCCCACCCCAGGACTCTGCACAGCCCCTCCAGCTGCCCAGCCGAGCCCCCTGCCCACCCCAGGACTCTGCACAGCCCCTCCAGCTGCCCAGCCGAGCCCCCTGCCCACCCCAGGACTCTGCACAGCCCCTCCAGCTGCCCAGCCGAGCCCCCTGCCCACCCCAGGACTCTGCACAGCCCCTCCAGCTGCCCAGCCGAGCCCCCTGCCCACCCCAGGACTCTGCACAGCCCCTCCAGCTGCCCAGCCGAGCCCCCTGCCCACCCCAGGACTCTGCACAGCCCCTCCAGCTGCCCAGCCGAGCCCCCTGCCCACCCCAGGACTCTGCACAGCCCCTCCAGCTGCCCAGCCGAGCCCCCTGCCCACCCCAGGACTCTGCACAGCCCCTCCAGCTGCCCAGCCGAGCCCCCTGCCCACCCCAGGACTCTGCACAGCCCCTCCAGCTGCCCAGCCGAGCCCCCTGCCCACCCCAGGACTCTGCACAGCCCCTCCAGCTGCCCAGCCGAGCCCCCTGCCCACCCCAGGACTCTGCACAGCCCCTCCAGCTGCCCAGCCGAGCCCCACGAAGAGCCCATACATACGGACTGGTAGTAGCCGCTTTATTTACACAAAGGGATCACATGCTGAACAAGGAAACTGGTGTCACTAAAGTACCCGTAACAGCAGGATTCTGTGCTTTATTCACAGGACAAAATACCAGGACAACATTTCCCATAGACTTCTTTTTCAAGCGGATACATCTCAGTGTCCTCATGGTTACACACTGCGCTGTGACCAAAGGCAAAGCTCTGCTGGCCCAGCACCACGGCAGGATGCGGCCCCACGGGGACAGCCCCACAGCCTCTGCCCGCAGGCAGGACTATGTGGGAGCACCTCTTTGCTTCAGGACATGGAGGAGCATAGGCTGCAGGAGAGGGCCATCAGCAGGGACACGTGTCAGTAACAGCAAACGGGACCCCACGGAGCAAGGCAGGGCAGTGCTGAGCTGCCGGGACGGGCAGTGCCGGACGGGCGCTCCTCCCGCAGCAGCTCTGCAGGGCTCTGTGTCTTCCCCTGTCTTGGATCCCCCTGGAGCATCCTGGCCTCCCGAGGGCAGCGGGTGCCCCTCATCTGTCTCTGCTCACAGATTCTGAGCTGGTGGGGGTTTCTTGGCTCCATCCCCTCTAGGCCCCCCTCATGGTGCAGCCTCACGTCACCGCAGCTCTGCTCCCAGATGCTTATTCCCACCTGAAGTCCTGCCCAACTGTTTCATAGAATTTGATATTATAAGGTCTGTAAAAGTCCCGAAGCTGCTCGATCACCTCAGGGTCTATCTGCACGTGAGTCCTGCCTTTGGACTTGCCCAGACAGCGAGGCAAGCCGCTGCTCTCAGACTTCTTCAGGCAAGGAAATCCTTTTGTCTTGTTGAAGTAGAAGTGCTTGTCTGTAATAACCCGTTTGATGCCCAGGAAGTCCTGGACTTTGCCCATCTCCCCAGCTGGGTCCGTGATCAGCTTCTCCCCACTGACAAAGTGGATCTGTGAGAGAGGGAAGTACTGGAGCCAGGTCTCCAGGTGCACGGCGTACATCCCGATGCGGATGGCGTTCCAGGAGGTGTCCACCAGCCCCAGGCTGCGGTTGCGGAAGGACAGCCCCTCAAAGGTGGGGATGTCTGGCTTCTTGGAGAGTGTCTGGGTGTAGTCCGAGATGGCCCGGGTGACCGGGTTCCTCACCACCACGATCAGCTTCGTGTCCCGGGACATGTTGAAGATGCGCCGAGGAGCCTCCTTGGTGACAAAGTAGCTGGGGGTCTTCTCCACCGTGATCTGGCTGTCGAGTGTCCGGGGCATCAGGCTCCTGCAAGCGAAGCAGAAGGTGATGGTGAGGAAGCAGCCGGGCCAAGCACTGGATGGTGGGGTGTCCTCTCCTGGCAGGAGAAGGCAGGACAGGGCAGGCACAGCTCCCTCCTGCAGTGCTGCAGGGGGTCCCTGCCCACAGACCTCTCTTGCGTCCATCCCAGCCCCAGGGGTCCCCCATGCAGAGGACAGGGACACCAGCAGCCCCACAGACACAGACACTGATCCGGCTCCAGACAGGACCCTGTGCACACCCCTCTGTCCTGGCACGGGGAGCCGGGCTGCAGGACCAGGGAGGGAGCACCAGACCAGGGGAAAAGTAGCATCCTTGGAGCCCAGCTTTGCACTAATTAAATCATTTGCTTTGACATGTGAGCATCTAAATCAAATAAAAACTAATGGGATGGAAAGATTTATAAATTAGTCTTGTATTACTAAACTATCAAATCCACTACAGCCGGATTCATGGCGCCGTGGGTGCCCTGGCTGGGGTGGGCAGGGAGGGGCAGGGAGCCCTCCAGCCACATCTGCACCTGGGCAGCTCCCTGACCTGGCAGCAGCTGCCCTGTGAGCAAGCACAGCATTAACTCCACTGGTGGGGCTCCCTGGAACACCCCTAATCCCTGCTGGGCACTGCAGCGGGTGCTCCCCCCTCATGGGGACCTGGGAGGATCAGGGTGAGCTGGTCCAACTGGCTCTTGGAGCTCTGTTAGCCTGGGCAGCACCATGAGGCCTCAGGACAGCAGTCAGGAAAAGCCACCAGAAAGCCACCACTGGCACAGTGTCCAACCCCTGCACCCTCACCCACTCCTCACCAGTGTCCTCATTTGAAAGAGAACAAACTAATTAGCATAAATCAACAGGGCTGTTTTACAGAGGTACCTGTGCACAGCCGTGGCTTAATGGGTCTTTCCCACCACTCTGCTGCAAACCCCATCAATCCAGATTACGATTCCCGTTGTTTAATGACTGTCAGGAAGTGCTAATTGAGCAGTAGGCACCACGGCTGGTCTCCGTATCACAAACAAGGTTCACCATAAATCAGCACGGGACAGCTTTGTGAGTGATTCACTATTACAATATATTGGTGGAGAATCATAAAACTGCTGTTTCATTAATGGCTCATCTTCAGCCTTGTTAGACTTTCATTACATGAGCTATTAGGTCCATGTATTCAAAAAAATGAAATTACAGGTTCTAATCTGTTATGAAAAACACAAAATCTCTACACAGTAAATTACTGAAATGAGACAAGAGGTGTTTTTTTTTTTAAAATGGACTCCCAGCGTTTGCTGCTCCTAAACAACAGAGACTGCTGAGACAACAAAACGCAACCCAAATAGATAAATAAATCACCAGTGAAACCATGGAAGGGGGAGAAATGTCATCCAGGCATTCATCTTTACCTTAACGGCAGGATCTCCGGGGCTGCAGGAGCAGGGAAATGCATTGCAAACTTAATTACAGTTGACTTAAAAATGGTATTTTTGGACTTCTGCGTTCCCAGAGTTATTTGCATACAAATAGCATGTCACGTAGTTTTAAGCCCACAGCTCATGGCCTTAGGTGTGAAGGCTCTTGGTGGCCTGTTTGTAGCACAGCGTGGCCAGGGCTCAGGTGGGACCTGCTCCTGCTTTAAGGACCTGACTCTGCCCCCGGGGCTTTCTCTGCCCAGGGTCCCCAGCTGGTCCCAGCACCAGCTCCAGGCCAGGCTGGGCCAGCCACCCCAGGCAGTGCCAGAGCTGATGCCAGCACGGGATGGTGCCGTGCCAGTGGCACCGGTGGGGAGGGATGGCTGGAGCAGAGGCAGGCCCACATTCGTG